GTGGTGCATTCCACTCCATTTAAATATTTTTTTTATCAGTGTATGAAGGCAGGAAAATGGTACCTACTTTGCTTAGTACAAAATTTTGAACTTCAAAACTGGCAAAAAGTCTATGGTTCTGACCAAGGACTACTACACACATTGTAATACTATTGTATGAAACAATTATGGGCATATCATTTGTTGATGCCACTAAAACACCAGCATTTTCATAGTGTAGGCGATCGCCTCTGCTAGCAGAGGCTGGACATAGGCTATGCATGTCCTGTGTGTAGTAGTCCTTGCACATACCCAAAGTTTTGGCGCAAGAAAAGTTTCAGTCGGATGGAATCATCTGCCCTGCTGCTGTTGCCATTGAAAAAAGTATCCAACAATTGGAGGTGTATTACTGTGTGACTATTCATCAGGTGTAAGAGAAGATCTTGCAGGCTAATGATGGGGTCTTCCACAGAGGATACCACTGTAACTGTGGCCTCTTCACCTGCAGGAATAGATGACCAAGCTCGCACAATTTTCTTACTCATTTTTTCTCCTCTAATGACAACGTTTTCTGCCAATGCTGGGAGCTCTTCTGGCAGCAGGTGTCGCTTTTCAGCTTCCAGATCTTCATTCAATGACTATAAAAATAAATTAAAACCAGTATTAATCATGAAGAAAAAGGAGCAGTAAAACTCTGCTTTAACAAGCCAATTAGGTTCAAATGCTGGATGTTAGGCACAAGCCTAAGATACAATGGCATGATGTAAGAAATTTTCATCGAAGGACAAGACCTACATTTTAGACAAACAGAAAATCTCCTGGGCAAGTTTTAGGAGTATTTAAATAAATTGCAAATATCAAAAAGCTACCTACACATAGTTTTCTTTGATTTTTGTTTTAACAACTTGTCAACGCAGGACCCTCCACTTGAATTATATCCATAAAAAACATGTAGAACAAGATCATGTAATAACTTTAATGTACAGTGTCATGTAAATAATGAAATAATGACATAAAGAAACAAAGTCCAAATTTGTGATACATATTCAAGCTAGTTGTCAATGAGCAGATTTTTTAGATTTTATTATCTATTTGCCAGCTCCAATGATATAGTAGATGAACTTTGAAAATGACACCAAATCCAATTATATGATTTGATTAAAAAAACATAAATGCTAAAAAGAGATTGCCTTCTAATACTAAAATGTCAACAAATTAATAATTACCTGAAATTCTCCACCAAAGACATCAAATTTCAGCAAAGCCAATTGCAATTCTGATGAAAGACTTGTTTTTTCCACATCACAGCATGACATTATTTTCAAGAAGGTATCAAATTTTTCTTTTAATGCTTTCTCACTGGTGTTTTCTACATTTTCCATATAAGCTGATAAATTCTGTTCTTGATCCAGGAGATGTTTCTTTCGTGACAATAGTTTTGCTTCAATCTCTTTCATTGACTCAATTAATTCCAGTCCTTCATTGCATAAACTAATTGAATCTTTCAGGTCTTTTTTCAACTTATTTCCAAGGTCCCCATTGAAGGCTTCTTTTATTTGTTCCATGCTTATTTCGTAACCAACAACATTTTCAAAGGCAACCATCCCATGAGTATAATGCATCTCAGAAATGCACTTCTTGCAGGTGGCAACTCGACACTTGCAGCACCAGTGTTCTATGGCGCATGAGTGCAACAAGCACATGTTATAGTCAACTTTGTTGCCAGTAGCATCACCAGTTGATTTAGGTATTGCACCAGGTATCAGCATATAGGAGATTGGTAACTCATACGATTTGCCCTGCCATTCTTCTCTGCATGATGGGCAAAGTTTCTTGCCTGAAGCCTCGATGTCCTTAAGGCAGGCTAGGCAATAAGTATGACCACACTGCAGGAGTAGAGGCTTGTGATTGGTACTATTGAATGTGTTCTTACACACATTGCAGAGAGCTTGTACATTCATTCTGCTCACTGCTCAGCCCTTCTGAAAAAAAATATTACAGAATTTCAGTACAAGAATATACACATGCAATTTACTAAATCATACTTCAATTCAATGGTTACCAACTGGGTAAATAGTATTTACCAGTGGTTCCCAAACTTTTTCAGGCTGGCACCCCCTGGCCCCTTTGGCTCCCCAGTGAATCTCTAGCCCCCCCCCCCTCGGGACGACAGACTGACACATAAAAACAAACGCCTCTTTCTTGATATTTATTATGCTGCAATTTTAAAAGAGAAAGGTTAAACACAAATGTGTATTTCACAAATAGAACCCCATTTAGTAGACAATATATATTTTTACAGCTTAACTGCTTCAGCACTAGAAATTCAAGACGGCTTGGACAAATTTTCAGCCAGACTTGTGGCTGGTCTCGCAGCCAGTCTCACGGCCAATCTCCAAATTCAGTCACACTGTCACAAGGAATGTCTCCCAAAGTAATGAATGCAGCTCAATAAAACTTGGAACACATATTCATTAGGACCTAACACAGCTGACAGCACAGCATTCTGTGCTGGAGTGATCCAATATATAAATAAATTCAATTTAACTCCAACTCCTTACCTCCGAGGAGGTATTCAATTACAGCCTAACAATTTTATTCTAGATTGAATTATTTTACCCACAAATGATATAATGAAACTATTTTTCGGGGAATTACAATACATATACGTTTATAGAAGCAGAAATACATACTAAATAAATGCTGCCTCCTCCAATTGCAGACCGACTCGTTCACTTGCGGGAGAGTAAAGAGTCTCGTCGAACCGACTCAACCGCGCAGAAGGATTGAACGAATTTCAACGAAACGTACATCATTGGGTGGTAACGAGTTTTGAACGGGCTTCTAACGAGTTTTGAATGGTTATTCAGAAGTTCCAAACAATGGTTAACAAATTTAGTTCAAGGCTGTAACCCACTCCTTATTCATTAAGTTGCAATATTGTTGCTTACGAAAAACGTTTTTTAGCACGATGATAATTATATATAATTTAACTTCGAAATTAAAGATTTTATTATTAAATCAAATAAGACAAGCAGAATCAATCAGAAAACTGATATTCACATTGAAGATAAAAACCTAAATTGACACAAGAAAAAACAACATGAGGTGACAGGCCCATCTATTTACAATTTCGAGAGGATAGAGCTGAACTCGACATTTAAACACTGGATCGACAGATAGGAACTGAAGGCGACATTTAAACACTGGATCACCATTCGACACTCTTCAAACTCACTCCTGAAATCGCACTCGAATTAGTCCGGGCAACTGTCCCAAATATAACTTATTAAATTATGAACAGATATGTTTCAAATTCAGAATATAACTAATTACCAATACGGCGTGAAAAGAATTATATCAGATTTCTACCCTATGTCGTTTTTTATTAAAACGCTGGAACGCTACATTTGCGTAACTGTCCCATTCATAAATCCTTCAATTACGAACGGACTCGCTTCAAATCAGGATATAACTAGTTATTATCAATGCAGATCTGAAGCCGGTTGGAGCGAAATCTAGTCTGAGACGGCGTCCATGCAGACAGACTTCCGGTCCTGCAACGCTGCAGCGTCAGCTGGCACACAGTAACCATAAATTTGGGTGTCGTCGGCGAACATAGGCGGATTTAAACCATGTGAATCAATTATGTCCAACACGTCAACAATATAACAGGAAGAAGATTGGGTCGATAACTGATCCCTGAGGTACGCCACAAGTGACCAACGATGGCGTTGAAGAAGAGTTCTTGCATCGAGCGCATTGGAATATATTGCTGAGATTAGTGAGATAAGACTCGAACAACCGCAGCACTATGCCGTGCAGGCCGAAAGATACGTCAAGTCGACAAATAAAGTGGCGTGGTCAATCGCGTCCACCGCGGCCGACAGCTCCAGTAAAGCCAGTCTACTACGGTCTACCTTCAGCACAGCGGTTTCCATCGAGTAGAGATGATAGTATGCAGACTGGCGGCGAGGCATGAGACCGAACTGCTGAAGATGGTTGTTCAGCTGTCGGGCCACAACGCGTTCCGGAAATTTCGACAAAATCGACAAGTTGCATATATGAGCTGAATCTCCAACCGATAAGGTTGGAGATTTTTTTTTCAAAAGAGGCGTAATGTAAGCTGGTTTGAAGTTCTCCGCGACAATACCATCAGTGAGGAAGCGGTTGATATTTTGACCATGATAGGTGCTAGGATTACGACATTCTCCGTAAGCAATGACGTCGGCAGCGGATCGCTGGCACACTGCTTGTTTGGCAGCGCGCGTACTGCAGCGATGACATCGCGAGCTGTGGCGCAAATGAATTCTGGGAGCACGCAGTCGAACGGGCACGGCGCAAATGTTTCCAACGAAGCATCGGCTACCACGCTCGCGCTGCAGAAATTTAATTTTCAAAAAACCGCACGGAATTTCTCCGTGATTACGTCACCCGAAGCATCTGTATGAACTCTCCCCATAAGTTTATACAGCAAACGCCACAGCGCTCGAGGGTCGTTGCGTTAGCGCCAAGCATCTCGCCAGGTGGAGGCCATAGAAGCTGCAGCAGCAAGATAGCTGCGTCTGGTCGCCCGGTAGACAGCCCGCTAGAGCAGTCAAATCCCCCACTTTGAGATCCGAAAGTCATCTTCGAACCATGAGTCGGAGACTCGATGGGGTACTTGAACTCGGCGTGCAGGAATGAGGTCATCGGCAGGAATGAGGTCATCGAGTGCTCAGGCCAACTCGGTATTGTAGAGTTGCACGAGGTCGTTGACTGATAATGCCAACCATGAGTCGACGTCGCCGTCGAGACCGCGGCATAAACTACAAGTATATAACTGTTTTGTACGCTGGCACCGGGTGCCCTCATGGCACCGTATGCTGAAGTATTTGATGGTCGGATATTGCGATCTCGATTATGTCGACTGGCTGCATTTGAAGAAGGGTTAGCGTGATGCCAACGTCCAGCAGACCGCTCATGTCGTACGTCGGCAAGGTTACGTGACAAACCATGCCGAAGGTCGACAGAATGTCGTTCAGCAGTTCAGCTGACGAGCCGATGGGTCGTACTCGTCCATACGATCCAGTCGAAAATTTGAATCGCCGGTGACAAGGACATGATCGGGGAAAGTCACAAGTCTGGTGAAAACATTGCTAAATCCGACAAAAAAAATCGCGCGCCACATCAACCGATCCACGATAGATGGTGACTGCAACGCCCGTATACGTACGAGGCGCATGTGACCCTAGCACATAGCAGCTCAAAGGTGGTGGGCCGGGCGCTGATGTCAAGAATGCTATAGTGCTCGCCCCCACTGGCGACGGTAGCTACTCCACCGTAATTCGTGGCCAGAGTGTCGGCTGTCATGCGGGGCCATGCGCGCTGAACTACTTGGAGTCCTTCGGCGAAAAGACGAGCGATGCAAACCTAGTCAGCGCCGTGTCAGGTCTCGGTCAGGAAGACGACACCTATTGTGCTATTGAGTGCGAGCGACAGATGTGAAGAAACTCGTCAACCTTGTTATTCAACGAACGGATGATGAGGCAGCCGAACGAGAACCGGCGACATGGCTTCACACAGTGGGGATCAACACGAACACTAAGCAAGTTTTGAGCTGTTGAGCATCGACACAGGTCGATGTTCAGCAACTTAGGAGTTGCCTATGGGTCGACACAGCTGTTTCGATGCTCAAAGCAGCTCAGCAGCAAAAAACTTCTATAACTCGAAGTGTATAAGTCGCAGCTGCGTTTTAACGCTGACAAATGTAAAGTAATCCACCTTGGCAAGAATAATGAACAGCAAGATTGCAGTATGAGAAGACACGGTTGCAACGACAGAGTGATGATGTCGAAGTCGACAATGGAAAAAGATTTAGGAGTTAACATCGACAATGAGTTGAAATTTTCTAAGCATATTGAAGGTCAAGTTAATAAAGCCAACAAACGACTTGGACTGATCAGACGCTCTTTCGAGTTCCTAGATGCAAAAGCGATGAAGCAGTTGTTTGTTGCTGTCGTGCGCCCGAACCTAGAGTTTGGAAACGTCGTGTGGTTACCGAAACTTGAAAAGGACAAAAATTTAATAGAGAGTGTTCAAAGACGTACAACAAGGATAATTCCGGGCTTGAAAGGCAAGTCCTATGAGGAAAGATTAAAGATTATGAAGCTTCCAAGCCTCAGTTATCGACGTCTGCGTGGGGAACTCATTGAAGCATACAAGTATACTCATGGCTTATACAAGGTCCCAGAAGGATTACAAGAATTTGAAACAAGAACCAACACCAGAAGCCACGGCTATAAACTAAGAAAACTGCGTTGTAACACATCCATGAGACAACATTTCTTCTCGCTTCGAGTCACCGACATGTGGAACAGCCTCCCTTATAGCATCGTTGACGCTCCGAGTATGAACGCCTTCAAGAACAGACTAGACTAGACGAAGCTATGCAGGAGCATATGTTCAGTCCTAAAATGCCTAGCAAATCACGGACTAGGCAATAAGTCCAGCAGTTATCTCAAGCAATCGTCAGTTATGGAAAGATTGGATTCCAAATGCCTGATCCCTCGTGAATCAAGTAACGAAAAATTCAAGAATCGGCAACAGGCCATGGGCCTATTTCTTCAGTGCCGGCACTTCTATTCTATTTTATTCTATTCGTAAGTAAAACTATTTCCCAATCAGACTTTGAAACGCCGTCAACGCTCTTTCTAGATCAGAGGTGTGTTTTTCTTTTCTTTTGTAATGATCAATATGTAAATATTATTTGTCAATTATGAGTATATTTGTGACAAAGATCGACAATAGAATAATAAACAATTTTATCAGTATTGCGCACAACTGCATAAACGGCGCAGTTCCACGTTTGGAATTCACAGTTCCACGTTTCTGTTTGAAATTTTATTTATGTTCGTAAATATTATTTTTCCTAGTGTCCAGATAACTTTGGTGATGTATCATAATTTGTTTTTAATTTAACTTTAATTAAACAAGTCGTCATTAATGTTTTTAAAATTCGGTGACGCGCGACTATAAGTGATTTAAAAAATTTTCATAATGATGATGAAATTTTAGGGTCTGAAATGAAATTTTTATGCCCAGTTGATTAACACATTGTTGTATAAGAGTCGAAGTTGTCCCGTTCATTTAAAATTCGAATTATGCTAGCCTACCGACAGAGCTGGGCAAAGCTACTTTGAAATGTAGCGGCGCTACCGCTACCGCTACATGCTCTAAATGTAGCGGGCGTTACCGCTACCGCTACACCCACTGGATTGTAGCGAGCGCTACCGCCACCGCTACAGTAAAATGTAGCGCCGCTACATTAGCCGCTACAATGGCCAAAATTATTGGAAATCTCTAAATATTTATTGTTCTGCTATTGGGGTTTACTCATAAACATTTAATGATAATAAAACATTTTCAAAACATATCAATGAAACTTTATTGCAATTAACCTAACCGAACTAGTATGGGTTAGATACAGTATATAAAAATTACAGTTATTTTTATGCTTTACCTTTCCTACATGGATGTCTACTTTAATCTACCAATCTAAGAAATTATCCACATATACATATAAAAAAATCAGTCTTTTATTTGTATATAT